TTAAGAAAAAAAAAGGAAGTAGTTAGCAGGAGGGGAAGAATGAAGGAGGGGAAATCGGAGGGGGAGACGAACCATGAGAGAGGATGGACTCTGAAAAACAAACTGAGGGTTCCAGAGGGGAGGGGGGTGAGGGGATGCGTTAGCCTGGTAATGGGTATTAAAGAGGGCACGTTCTGTGTGGAGCACTGGGTGTTATGCACAAACAATGAATCATGGAACACTACATCACAAACTAATGATGTAATGTATGGTGATTAACATAACAATAAAAAAATTTAAAGGAAAAAAAAAGAAACAAACGAGATGAACATATGGGAATTGGGGGAGGAGAAAGGGAAACAACCATAAGAGACTCTTAACAATAGAGAACAAACTAAAGGTTGATGGAGGAAGTGGGTGGGGGATGAGCTAGATGGGGGATGGGTATCAAGGAGGGACCTTGTTGTGATGAGCACTGGGTGTTGTATATAAGAGATGAATCACTGAATTGTACTCCATAAACCAAAACTGCACTGTATCTTCATTACCTAAAATTTAAATTAAAAAAAATTCAATATGTCTAAAACCAAACTCATGATTCTCCATACCCTTTTCCACCCACACCTAAACCCAAATCCTGTCCAGTGTTTCCTAACTGAACAACAAGACCACCCATCAAGTCTTGCAAGTCAGAAAAATGATTCATCTCTGATATTTTCTTTTTTATTTTTTTATAGATTTTATTTATTTATTTGAGAGAGAGACAGTGAGAGAGGAAACACAAGCACGGGGAGTGGGAGAGGGAGCAGGGAGCCCGATGTGGGGCTCGATCCCAGGACCCTGGGACCGTGACCTGAGCCGAAGGCAGGAGCTTAATGACTGAGCCACCAGGCTCCCCTCTGATATTTTCTTCTTAGCCTTCCTCCCACCACTTTTCTTCTTGGGATTTGGCACCACTGCAATTTTACAACTATTTGTGTAATTATGTAATCATGTACCATAAAAGTGGGAACGTAGTTTATTCTTACCATTATATTCTACCTAGCCCAAAGTCACATTGTAGACATTTTTTTGAATGAGTGAGCAAATAACAGATATTATTTATAGAAAATTCATTATATGCTAAGCACTAAATATTTTATAAACATTTTCTTTAATCTTTGTAGGAGCCCTATTAAGTAGGTATTATTATTATTGTTGTTGTTGTCATCCTCAGTTTACTGAGGAGGAAGCTAGGGCACTGAGAAGTTACATTTCCTTCCTGAGAAAGCAAACAACTTGGAAATACTAGAAAAAGGTGGACCCAGATCATGTAAGTGACTTGTATATCACTATGCTATTCTATATTTATGGTTTTCAAAGATACTCTCAAGCTACTTGGCTGAAGTTTACCTGGGTTTAATACCATCTATAACTTATAAATATATTACAAAGAAAAAGTTATCTACAATTAATGTATGCTTAGAAATCTTTAGTGTATATGTGGCTATCATGAAAAGACTAAATCTTTTTGCCTGGAATTCAAGATCTTCCATGATCCAACTTCTTCCTTCCTTTGAAGCCTTTTCCACTCTAACGCCCTGATGTTCTAGTCAGGGGTCAGCAAACCACTGCCTGTAGGCCAATTCTGACTACCCATTATTTTTGCAAATAAAATTTTATTTTAGCACAGCCACACACATTTGTTTATATGATGTCTACACACTACAACACCAGAGCTTAACAGCCATAGCTGTAAGAACTGTACAGTCCACAAAGCCTAAACATTTACTATTTGGCCCTATTTTATAGGAAAAGCTAGCCAACAATGGGACCAGACTTATTGACTAGAGCCTAGTACAAAGAAAATAAATAGATACCATTAATCAAGCACTGGATTCTTTCAACAAACCTTTCAAAAGAGGTCTTGTTACCCTTGTTTCAATTAATGAAAGAAGGGAGGAAGGAAAAGAGAGAGATTTAAAAAAGAAGTCCACTGAGGTGCAGATGGGCGAATAAAGTGACCAGGATTACAGTAAGTAAGTGGAGGAACTGGGATTTAGATCATACTTGCTGACCATACTTTATAATTCAAACCAAAAACTTCCCATGGTGCCTTAAAGAGCTTGGGATTTCATGCTGCTAGTGTTTATTTATGCTGTTCTTTCTTCTGCATAAAATGCCAATTCTTCTTTCAAACTTAAAAAGAGGTGCCTGGTGAAATCTTTACACATTCTTGGAGAAAAAGCTCAACTACTACCTCCTCTGCTAAATCTTCCTAGATTACCTGCAGCCCGGGGAATAATCCCTCCTATAGATGCCCACAACACTTCTGTCATCCCCTTTAACACTTAGGACTTTATCCCCTTAGCTTAATGATAGCAAAAACCAAATCTACCTTTATATTCTATAGAAAACCTAGGACAATGTCTTCTACATTTCACTGCTGGATTTAAGTAAAATATTTAATATTTATTTCTTAAAGCAACAGAGGAAAATCAGAATGTGGTCTAAGTAACAGAAATGTCCTAGTATTGAGCTTTAGTATTTTTAGCCTACTTTTTATAAAAATCAACTCTCAAAGGAACTAAAACTTCCTAAGTATTAAATACATTAAAGGTTTCTATCAGCATCAAAAAATAATGAAATTTAATATTAAAATTCCTTATGTGTCATCATTTTGCTAGGGAAGAAAAACTCTTCATAATGCCTAAATTAAAGAAAAAACCTAACAAGTTATTAGAAATTAAGAATAAATCAGTTATCAATAATGAAATTTTATTGCAAGAATATAGAGACCACAGATGACATTTTCCAACAACTAGTTACTTTTAAAGTTCATAATGATAGAGTGAGATGAATGCTCAATGTCATCACTGTAGAAATAATCTAGTTTTAATGAAAATACTATTTGTAAAAATGTACATAAAATAGTTTTAGTCTGTTTTGACAGGACTCAGGTTCTCTCTACAGTATAATAAGGCTTAGTATAAAATCAGTCATACAGTAGAAATTATTTTTTAAAAACCCTAACATTTAGAATTTTTAAAAGTTAAATATATTCAAATCAGACACCTACCTGCATCACCTTCTGCTGAATCTCCTCTAACTGTGTACGCTTACTACGTTGCCTACAAACTTCCTGGTAGCGAGTATACTGTTCTCGCAGTGAATCTAATAATTTCATGACCTGTGGCTGGGCCAGCAGTTCATCATCCATAGGAGACCATGAGACCCCTCCATCTGAGCCATTAAATCGACGCTGCTGTAATTCGGACAACAATTCATGCCCTTTACGAATGAAAGATACTTATAATTAATATCCATAAAGAAATACAATTCTTACTTCTCAATCTCAATTTTAGTCCCTTATTTTTTGAACCTATCTGCCTATATGTCTGCCTAACTATCTACTAGGTCATAATTACTGAAATGCAATTTTTAAATATATATAGAAATAAATAGGAAATAGCATATTTTAGTATATAACTACATAGTATATTTAAATGCTATATATCATATATATCATGAATGTATATACTATATATGCTACACTAGTTAGTAAATATATGGCATATTTTTTTTTCTTTATCTGTCATCACATTCTTGTTATTGGTGGATTCATTATTTAGGAAATTGTGCCAACCAATCCTCTTTCCCTGTAGAGCACAATTACACTCTGGGATTTCTGTCTAGTATGGTACTAACTAGTACGTTCAATTTGATGGTACTAATCAATACTAAGCAGGATGTTGCAGGATTTCAGTATTAATCCATACCCTTAATCATACTATCTAACACAAAAGTTGACAGTGTAACAGTGTATGATTAAAGGGAGAAAGCTTTATTACTGGTATGAAATAAAATTTAGTCTCTATTTAAGGAATCTCTACAAAATATTAACTGAATCATGAGGGACTACATTAGTGTAAGAACTTCAACGTTATTCATATAGCAAACTCATGTAAGAAAATCCATTCATGCATGAGAAGCTAAAATTGCAGAATATGCAACATCTAAAACTGGAATTTTAAAAGTGAATAAATCACAAACTGTTTTTCCAGGATAATACTATTCCAATTATTACTTAAGGACCAAAAATATATGCAGATACTTAAATTCTCTTCATCTTTATTCAGAAAAATGTCCTAAAGTTAAATGGCTTTCAATATTTAGAAACAGAATTTTTATCATGATTTGAAGGTAATTCCAATTTCTAAAAAATACCCCAAATCGTTCTAAACCTCTCCATTTCTATACTCTCTTTTTATCCCTATTCTAAGAGTCAATAGCATCTAAAAAAAGAACTTAGTGGCATATAAAGTTAATTTCAAAATACAAATTTAAAAAACTTCTTAATTCATGGGCTTCAGTAGCTTTCAAAATGTTAAATATAACCACGGAATTAAATTTTAAACCTAGAGCAAGCCATATTTTTACTGACAGTCCACTGTACTTGCTCAACATGTAGGAATTCATAGATTACAATTATTTCTTTGTTCTCTAAGGAAGTAAGATCAATATCACTCTGAAAACAGTACAATGGAATCAATACAATGAAGATATTCAGAATTCTTTGAATTGAAATAAATACAAGTATTTCAAGGGAGAAATAATTTAACAGTTTATCATTATTAATACTTTCCAAAAATACTGTAAAGTGTATTAACACACTGTTAGGTTAAACCAAAGACCAATTTTAAAAGTCCCCTTGAGTTTCTACCACGTAATACATGTTTAATCAATTTTTATTTCATGAACCAATCAATATATGATTGGTTTATTGGATTATGATTATCACTGATAAACACTTTTTTTTCTCTTACCTGTCTGAAGAACTGTTTCAGGATCAACTGATGGAAGAAAGTTTAAATCCACAGACCTGCCAAACACCACAAGAATAATTTTTAAAAACTGTATTTTTATCTATACAAAGAAAATCCTTTATGTATGTGCATCAAAACAGGAGCATATGGTGTTGAAATCTGAAGCACACTATTCTACCAGGCTAATGCCCTTAAGCATTAAGAAACCAATTGGAGATAATTAAACACTAGTAGCCAAAAAAAAAAAAAATCTATGTGAAAACACAGATAGTTTATTATTATTATGGTATTATTTCAAATATATTGAAGGAATCCATTTTAGTATTTTCCCACTGCATATTTATTCCAAAATTAAATGTGTAACTGTATAATAACCCAGAAATGTTAACATTAAAAATGCATGGCGCCATCCTCCAATTAAGCGTTACTTATCTATAGCAACCTTTGAGAGCTACAGATAGTCTCTGATATTCATGTGCATGTGCATCCCCACGCAGTTGTACTCTCTTCCCTGTACTAACTGTTTCATTTGCAGTTGGACATGCTCTGTATTTTTTTAAACACATATGGGAAGTAGAAGACGAAGGAAAGATAGAGCACATGGCAAATCAAAGCCTAGGACCTTGCTGCTGTAATTAACCGGTCCTGCTCTAAATCTTTCACTTTTGTCGATTCATCTGGAACCTCGCCTCTTGTGTAGCCTGGATGCTTCTGGAGTAATGACATTAAAAAGGTGATGAAAATTTCAAGTGGAGGGACTTTATTATCTAGGATTTAAAAGAGACTAAGTAATAACACTTGAGTTCCTTGGGGAGGAACTGGCAAATACAAGATTTTATTTGATACTTCATGTAGTCATGCAAACCAGCATTTCCCAAAGTGTTTCCCAAAACACTGAACAAGATATTATTAGATGGAGAAAAAGGGGTCCCGCCGGCATATAAGTACAGGAAACATGTTTCTTTACTGCAATGCTTTCTCAGACCTGTAATCTGTAAATGTTCACAGTCATTCTGAGAGAGGGAAACATGATAAACAGCATTAGGCTGTGACCATGAACTAATTTTCTACAGGGACCTCTTAGGACGTCTTTCCTGAGGAAAATGACTTTAAGAAGCATCAAACTTACTCTGCTGGGCTACTCAGAAAGCAAGAGGTTCGGCTAATTTTTGTCAACCAACTTGTGTGACGTTTTCAATTCTTAAACCATAGCATAGAGTGTATGAGTTATCTATACACACATTTACGTGCATGTCAAAATTTTACATTTTATATTTTTATATGGTATCTACAGGACAATAATGTTCCTAAGTGCTTCCTGTGACTGTAACTCGATTTCCATTCAAACCATTTGTTTTCACATTTTCACTTTGCTTTAATCAAGATTTGGTGTTTAACTCTGACCTTCTCATACCCCTCTCACCTTATTATAAACTGGTATGTGACTATATTTGTATTCAAGGAATAACAAGATGCATTTTATCAAGGTTCCATTATATTTTTAAGGTCTGATTCAAAAGACGTAGGCAAGGATGAGTGTTGATCCTTTCAAATTTCCTAATGAAAAATTACTGTTCTAGTAACCACTTTGTTGAGAGACCAGAAAGGATTAATTTGCTTCCTAAGGAGCTTTTAACCTGGGGAGAAGGATTTGGCTTACCAACAAAAAAATGAAAATTGTTAAGCTTGTAAAGTTCAATGGAATCTGTCAAAATGATAAATCTAGATAGTTACATTTAGATAATACAACTGAACAATTACTTCATCCAGTGTCATAAACACTAAATTCTCCAAGTTGAACTCATAGATATCACATATTTTATAAGGACCTAGGAGTTCTAGAAGGTAGGCATTTAAGAGGTATTTAAATAAGGTTATAATAATTTTATTTCAAGCTGCAACCTCTTCCATAGTCTTCACAAGCAAAGTAGAACTCTAAAAAGAAAATGGTTTCATTTTGAAAACGTGTTCTTGCAAATGAATTTTTAAGGTAAATACATTTTATTCATCAAAAAGTCTTTTGTAGAGAAACTTTGATTCAAATCAAGAAATTTTACATGTAAAGCAAATTCTCATGAATTAATAAATAAATTTAATTCAACTTTTATATGTCAGTTTTGACTGGAGAATTGCTTACACCTTACTTCTTTTAGCTTCCATTAATAGAGGTATTCTTCATCAGGTTCATCATAGCTTTGCAAAGGTATAACTCCAAGACACCAGCCACCTACCTTTCTTTCTCTTGCTGATTGCCTTTATCACTTCCATTGTTAATCAAAGCAAGTTCATCCAGTAATGATGTAGATTCTTTTGTAAACTTCTCAAAAACCTACAATATGAGATTTTGTTAACATATTAAGAATAATCTTAAAAGTTAATGTTTACATAAGGATTTTCAGTTAAGCAGAATACAATTAGCCAGGCAGAATTCCCTTTTCCTCTCTTGATGTCACTTAGCACAATTCAACCACCAGTGCACAACAACTTAAAGGACAGAAGACAAAACCCCCCTCCCAGAACAATGAATAGTTTCAATGGATAAGAAATTTTTAAAATTTAAATAGAATAAGAAATTATTTTTATTCCTCAGACAAGTTTATTTTTATTCCTGTGTTTTATGAAGAAACATCTGCACTAGTAACAGTTTAAACTACATGAACATGATTTAGACCAGTATTAATCTTCTAATTCCAGTTACAGAACATTTCTTTATGTTTTTCTATTACTAATCCACACTGGTTGCATATACTAAAGAGTTTTACATATAAGCATGTAGCATAAAAATAAACTAGTTATAACTTTAACATGGCTTCTTAAAATATTTCTAAAAAGGGATTTAGGCAAGTCTGTTTATAATAAAAGGGACACTCATTTGTCTGATGTAACTGTCCAAATATGATGGAAATTGGTTATCCATTCTGAAATATCCAAGTTTATTATTCTTCAATAAAGTTAAGCTTATACAGTTGACTCTTGAACATGTTTTTGGGAAGTCAAAAGTTATATACAGATTTTCAACTCTGGGGAGGGTTAGTGCCCCCAACTCCCATGTCATTCAAAGAATAACTATAATCTAAGCGGAGTTAATAGAAGTAGTTCTTTTAGTCCCCAGCAGTTCGATTAAACAATGCCATAGCATGCAGAGGAGTTGACTTCAATCTGTCCAAAGATACATTTTCAGAAATGAAAACCTTAACCTGTCAAACTGCTCTTCAACTCAAACTGATATTTAAATATCCTCTCTGAAAATGGTACATCAACTAGATTACCTCTCAGGAAATTATACTACTCTGTCATTCAACTAAAATATTCACAATTTTGACTAGAAATACTGCTACAAATGACAATAGCAAAAGCAAGCACTATGAGTCTAACTGCAGAGTATTTGCCTTCAAGCATTATGCTATCATGTGGTATGCACTTTATTTTTCTAACAAAGAACAATCTACATGTTAGTAAATTAAAATGATAAAGTTACCAAAATATGTCTTATTTGTATGTAATAACATTTTTATCTCACTGTAATATACCAACCAGTCTCTTATTTAACCAGTCCATGTGATCATAGGTGAGACTCCCACCAAAATCTTCTGTTAACTGGCATGGTTCTATGTAACGAGTCAATTTATTGGCAGACACTAAAATAACCTATAAAAGTAAAAAGAAAAGAATCATTTAGTAAGCCAATGTTAATGGCCATGAAAGCAATAAGGAGGTAAAATCAGGTTAAAATATGCAATACTGTTTCCAAAATGATGATATATTATCATGCATTTAATTAATACAAGACTTAATACATTAATAGAAGCAATTAAAATCAATTAAAAAATTATGGATATCTGCTAATAAGCTATTATAAACCATATATAATACCACATTTTAAAAAATGAGACATAGCTGAGATGAAATATTTTCAAAATTTTATCAATATTAATAACTTCTTGGTAATAAAAATCAGTTCCTTTGATACAATGTATTCAGCAAAAAAAATTAGCCTTAAAATTAGCTAATTATAATAAGATGATAAGCACAAATAATAATAAATCTGGCAAACAAAAAAGTATACACTTTAAAGTTTCTATAAAATTTTTTGATTATATATTAACAAAACATGTCCTGTAACATTAGAGTAAAACTCAGGATAACATATACTAATATTTAATTTGAAAATCAGAACTAAAAAGCAGGGAGGTCAGAGAATTCATAAACTTGAAATTCACATATTAAGGTGAGAATCTTTTAACACTGAACTTTAAAATATTTTAAGTACAAATTATAGAACAACCTAAGAGATCATGCACTAAATAAAATTTCAATGAGGATATACAGGAATATAAAAGAAAATATATGTGTGAGAGAAAGATACTCAAATGGTAATACTAATGCAAAAATGATACATGGACATTTGAATTCCCCCCCACCCAAAATGTGCTAGTAAAACAACATGTTTAATGTGTATGGCTGGAAAGAGCACCATTCACATCCTAACAATAACAAAAGCCAGAAAATTTTAACTTCTGTGGAACTTTCTCTGAGAGCCAAGGTCACAGAAAAATCACCTACTCTGAAAACAAAGAAAAGACAGCACCATAGAGAGAAAGCTGGAAGGGAAGCCTACAAAGTGGCATGTGCAAAGTTTTTGGGGATGATGGAATTCTTTGGTATCATGACTGTGAGGAAGGATTTATATCTATATATGTTGGTCAAATCTCATAACTACATGTACATTACTGCTCAATAAATCTCACTTTTTAAAAAATTTAAGAAAAAAGACAACAACAAAAACAACATAAGGACTTGTGGGCAAACTACTAGAGAAAGAAAGAAGGAAAAGAAAAATTCAGAAACATTCCCAATATGCAAAACTGGGTACATCCATACCATATATGAATTTATAATATAAACACTAAATGAGGGGAAATTACCAAAACTGCAAACTGCTTTGCTAAAGGGGGGGAAGGATAAATCATCTTAGTAAGATACCAAAAACATGGTATCAAAAGTTCACAAAACTATCAACGAAAAATGGATCCAGCATAATTAAACTTTATAACAAACTGCTACTGATAATAACACATTAAGTCCAAACTAAAAGCCTTAAACATTTATATTAGAAAAGAAAGGGTAATGAATAATGAATTAAGTGACCTACTTAAGGTGGGGTCAGGGAATAGTGGGAGAACAACAGAATACATCCAAAGAAAATAGAAGGAAGGTGAAAAAATAAGAAATAAAGCCAAAAGTTTTCCCCCAAAAAACTAAAATAAAATTGACAAATTTCTGAGACGATAAAGAAAAGCACAAATAAATAATAGTAAGAGTGAAAAGAACACAGCTACATTGACAGCAGTGGTTTAAAAGATAATACGGACACAGAAAAATCTTGTGTCAATAACTATGCAAATTTAGAAGAAATGGACAAATTCCTATAAGAAATCATTTATCAAAATTGGCATAAGAAAAAACAAAACACTTACAACCAATGAAGTAATCACTAGACTCCATTTTCAGTAATCATACCCTTAGTGATAATTTAGTATTGTTATTCTGAGATCATTTGATGAGGAAGAAAGCAAATGATTAATATAAGACATTCTAATTCTGCCATTCCTGAGATCCTTGAGAAATGGAATTCTTGAGAAGGAAGATGTAACAGGGGATAAGTTACCATTATGCTCTTCAATTTGAGTTGGAAGTATCCATTTAAACTCATGATGTATTTCATCTTAAATAAAAATACACACACTATTCTCATACACAAATCTAGTTCTGACCACTGACAAGTTTAGAAAGGATGACCAGTTCTGTAGAAATGCACACCTCTAGCATCCAGACTGTTACTCCAAATACCATTTCCCTCTAAAGGGAATCAGGGCTCCTTGGAGAAATGGCCAATTCCAGATCTTGGGGCTAGGAACATTCATGATGAGCTTAGACCATCTTCTCACCCAGGTTTCAACAGAGGTATCAAAGATTACTTGGGGGGGTGCCTGGGTGGCTCAGTCGTTAAGCGTCTGCCTTCGGCTCAGGTCATGATCCCAGGGTCCTGGGATGGAGTCCCACATCGGGCTCCCTGCTCAGCAGGAAGCCTGCTTCTCCCTCTCCCACTCGCCCTGCTGGTGTTCCTGCTCTCACTGTGTCTCTCTGTCAAATAAATAAATAAAATCTTTAAAAAAAAAAAAAAAAGATTACTTGGGTTGTGCCAAAAAGCTTGAAAAGGCTTCCACTGGCCAAAGATGGAAAAATTTGCATATCAATAAAAATAATAAATGCCGTATTTTGAAACATTAAGTATGTTGAATTCAATGAGCTCATACTGATACAAAAGAAATGATCATCACTGGACTATACTGGGGAATAAATTTACTTTATTGAAAGCTAGCAAATGTAGGGAAATAGGCATTTATCTCACCTTTCATATACAAACTGTACCACTGGGTAAACAAACAATGAAGGTAAGCTTCTCATTATTGATGTGTTCCAGCTAGTGAATGAAAAAAGAATAGAACTAGAACATTACCATTTTAAATCTTTACTAAATCCAGGCACTAAACATAAAGGGCCACTAGCATCACAAAAAAGATAACCATTATGAGTTTCATGATCAAGGAACACATTACCCCTAACGAATAACCCTGAAAAAGAAAATTAAACATGAATCTTATCAACTGTCTAAATCCAACTATCAATTTATAGAAATACAGATTCAAAAAGGCAGAATATGTTAAACCACACCACACAGATGCTTGCTGCAATGAAAAACTGTAGGACAAACAACAACCTGGTCTCTTCAAGAAAAAAAAAATACATAAGAAAGGAGAAAGAAAAATTAATATTAAAAAGCTTTATTTAATGATTTAAATATAGGATCCCACAACCAATAATAAGAGAATTACATATCCTTTTCAAGCAAGCATTAAATATTTAAAAACTTGACTATGTATCAGGCCATAAAGCAAGCCTCGGTATATTTCAAAGGCACTAGTTGAAAATATTCTATCACCACAATGAAATTAAGTTAGAAATAAATAATCAAATGAGAAATCATTAATAAGATTTTAAGACCCTATCTACTTGGAAAGGGATCTCAACCAATCACAATATGTCAATACTATTTGGATCCTGACTCAAATCAATCAATCTGTGTATATGTGTAATTTATATATAAATTTATAAGTTTTAAAATATATTATTTATATATTTTATATATAGCTCAAACCTTTTATGATATTAAATAATTATAAATTTGAAAACAACTAGCTCTTTGACATTAAAAGGAATTGTTTAAGGTATAATAATGGTATTGGGTTATACTTTTTTAAAAGAATCTTTGTGTTTTCGAGACACATAGTAAAATATTTACAAATAAATTCAAATGTCTTCAATTTCCTTCACTATAATAATATCCCCAGTCTTCTTTGAGGGAAGTGGATAAGGGTAAGAATGCGGCAGGATGGACCATGGTTTGATAGATGCTGGAATTGGGTATAGGAATGCTTGGAGTTAACTGTAATATTTTGTTTACTTTTTTATGTGTTCATAATTATAATAAAAATACTAAAAACCTAACATATATACATATATATATATAAACTCTCTTTTAAATGAATCTTTTCAGAAAGAATATGCCCAGCCAGTTTATAAGTAAGTTTTAAAAATCAAAGAACAGATCATTTCAATCTTTTTTAAGTGATATATATGTATATATATATATGGGTTTTTTTTTTAAGATTTTATTTATTTATCTGACAGAGAGAGCACAAGCAGCAGCAGAGGGAGAGGGAGAAGCAGACTCCCCTCTAAGCAGGGAGCCCGATGTGGGGCTTGATCCCAGGACCCTGGGATCATGACCTGAGCTGAAGACAGATGCTTAACCAACTGAGCCACTCAGGTGCCCCCAGATCATTTCAATCTTAAATAAATGCTTCCAGAGAACAGAAATGCAGGGAACACTCCCAGCTCATTTTATGAGACTAACTCTGATACCCAAGGACAATCTGAGAAAAGACCATACGACTTGCAAATATCAAGTATTTGCAGTGAAAATTTTAGACACTACAAGTGGATATATAAATTAGAATGCTTTTTTGGAAAGCAGTTTGGCATTATCCTAAAAATCTGAACATTTGTATAACCTATGCCTGGATAAGCTGCAAACAGAGAAAACCTCATACATGTTTTATCAGGAGAAATGTACAAGAATGTTTGTAGCATATCATTCATAATGGCAAAAGAATGGAAACAACCCAAATGTCCATCAACAAGAGAATAAGTGGATTGTTTTTATTCACACAGAAGAATAACTTTTAGCAATGAGAATGAATCAACTACATCTACTACAAGAATATGCATGAACCTACCTACAATGAGAGAGAAAAAGCAGGTCAGTGAACATTAAAATCATACCATTTTTAAAAAGCTTAAAAACAAGTGAAACTAATACAATATTTAGTAATAAATAATATATTTAAATGGCAACTCTAGAGATATAAATATAAAAAAATAAAAGATACACTCCCTATTTTCTTCTGAAGATTTTGTCTTTCACATTTAAGTTTTTAATACACGCGTACACACACACACACACACACACACACAATAAGAAAATGAACAAAGGATGGATAAATACAAATAAATGCCTTTATTTC